TTTCTGCTTAAGAAATGTTGGGAAAACACTCGAAAACACCATAATCACTCGCTGCGCTCGTGTTTTTTAGGTCCTATGTCGTGTTCTCTCAACATCAGCGCGTGGTTTAGTTCACCGATAAAAGCACAGCAATCCGTCCTTTATTGCTTAAATAACATTAGATGGTTTGATAGCCAAAGAAGAAAAAAAATCCAACATCATGAAAACCATTCAAGAATAAATAGTTATTAGTAAAGAAACCGAATTTTAATAAAAAAAATATGATCTATGCGCATGTAGTCTTTTCTCTGTTGTGCAAGAGGCCCACACGTAATGCCATTCAACTCTACCTGGGCCCTTGACTCTCTTGTCGCTCAAATCTAACAACTATTCTCAAAATAGTTTGAGCACCAACATCAAGGATCAATTTTGCAATATATACAAATCACGACAACTTATAAATTTAAATAAGTTTGTGTGTATAACAAACAAGGTCTATTGTAAGTCTTTGTAAAGGTTCTGAAATTATTACTTATYCAAACACTATGTTTGTTTAATGGATGATTTAGGAGCGAAATGATTTTCCTACCCTTAGTGGCAGCCCAGTGCAATGCAACACGATTACCGCATTCATCGTCCACTAAATTCACATCGAGTTTACGCTTTTTGACAAAGTTTCCAAGCTCCTCAAGCTTCACGGTGTCTCCAAGAGCGCACACTTCGTGAAGCAACAAATCGGGTAGCCCATTAACACTGATATTAGCCATACTCGATATTTTACAAATCAACGTCTTATAACACCGCGAAAAATGTTAACGAGTGTTTTTTACTTCAAGAAAGTTTGTGGTGTTGAATTGAATATTTAATCATAARAAAGAAAAAGGCTTTGTTTAAGGATATTGAGTAGAGATTAACGAGCTAACGACCTCTCCCTTGGGAATCTAAAAACAAGCATGCATCGTTCAGTGCAGTAAGGAAGTATTTTTGGTCAGGGATCTACCACACGTTCTACCAAGAMTTCCGACTCTTTTCTTTCTCTGGCTTTGCGAAAAGCATAAGCATACGTCCTCAAAAAATAATGGTAGATATTGTRTAACGCGGTTACGAATGGACAGTTTCAATATTGATCGACCGAGCGCGATTAAAAAAATATTATATATATATCGCAGGCGCTCGCATGAAAGCAAGGTATTTTCGGGCAAGAAGGTTCCGAAGCTTGATTATATTTTTCCCGATAGATATCTCGTGGCATGCTTGTTGTCATACTTTGCTACCCTGGATASGCTATTTAAAGATGATGTTATATGTTACTACTACCGATAACATGCAATACTCAAATTATTTTTTATCGTGGGTTTTGATGACTTTTCTAATTGCATAGTACTGTCGAAATTAGTGCCTTATTTTTTTCATTATCGAGCATTTTGCAAAACTGTGTTAACAATTTATTTATAAATGTATATAAAAAGGGTGCATTGTGGATAATTTGCACTTACAGTGAAAAGTGGCTAATAGTAAACTGTCATGTTGGTACATGTATTCAGATACTCAGATACTAATTGGATTGAATATTATTAGAAATATTCGCAAACTTTTTAGATATATTAGAATCATGCAAATCAGACTTCGCATATATAAAAAGATATTTTGACTTTTGCAAAACGCTGAATATATGAAGAGATTTTAAACTTCAGTAAGGATAAAAATATGAGCAAAAGATTCTTATAAGTCTGTCTGTGAGATGACAACATCGTCAAAATTGACGATAACACCGCGCACCATGTCGCTTGTGGCACATGACCTTAGCAACTAATKAAGGGTTACCTGTGTACAAAGGCAGCCCAAAAATGTTTTAAAGGTTAAAAGTGACTTTTWTCTACAATTAGTTTTATTATTACAGCTTGGGCTGCCTGTGTAATGATAAGTTAGAGTACCTTTGGAGGAAGCCCAATGCAAAGCTGTCCTATCACCAAAGTCTTCATCCATATARTTAGGRTCGATATGGCCTAGCATTAGCATTGTCTGTAGGTCCTGATAGTCACCTGTTGATGCTGCCTCATGGAGAACTAATTCAGTCATCATTTTGTGATACTATCAGGGGGTAGGGTGAGTAGATTTGCCACAACTGTATTATCTAAATAAAGTTGTCAACAAAAAACAAAGGAATAAAAGGGGAATTAAATGTGATAGATATAAATACAGACATAATTTTTGTTGTAGTTGCTATCTTGCAGGGTGATTTGAAAAATATAGAATGCAGTTATTGGATGAGCAAAACTAAAAAATTGCACATGCTTTGGAGTCGTACTCCTCTTATTCATGACACACTTTTTACGTCATTCAAAAGTTGCTGCACCCATGTGTTCACTGCAAAGTTTTGAAGATTTGATGATGTCAAAAGTTTGTCAATAAGACTGCTCATACAAAAAAATRACCATATAAAATTTGTTTTTAACCACATTATTTTAGTCTAAGAATTAGCGGAAGTCATTACTAGTCCTTTCCTCTCAACTTAATTAATTAACACGCTTTTAATCAGCCAATCAGTGTCTGAGAATTCAAACAAGGTTGAAAAAACTTAAATTGTTGAGATGAAGATGGAAGCAATTGATTGGTTAATTAGTGTGACTGTTTGAGTTGATAACATTAAGCAGTAAAAATCATCCAATACCACACCCTACTGTTCAGTTGGGTACATATGTTCATAGGGGTCCCCAATTACCTCACTCCGACTCTTGACCCCCTCTCTAAGAAAAAAATTCAAAGACCCCAACACATCCACAAAACTCACTTATGATAAGCTCAGGCTACCTGTGTCATCCGACCAAAGCACCGGGGACAGTATTTTTGTCAAAGCATTATTTTGATGACGGAAGATAAAAAGCTTAGTTTAAAAGATTCTATTGGCCTTGTTTTATAAGTAAATAGGCTTTTAATACCTAAAGTACAGAATATTGTTCACATTGTGAAGAAAACAAAAGAGTTTTATCCAAAAAGCTTTTAACCTACATTTTGTTATTCTTTGTTTTTTTGTTCAGATTCGAAAGTATTTTAGAAAAACTAAAAACAGCTTCTTTTTGTGCAGTAGTTGATGTTTGTCATATTTGTGTTTTAGTCACGATAACGTAGCTTTAWAAAATTATAGCAACGGGAACAAAACTACACATGCAGATCGAGTCTGATAGTCAGGTTAGCGGAACCAAGTAAAGCTGTACAATTTGCAAACAGCATATGACAAAATCTTATTTATCCTTCAGAAAGTAATACAGCTAATAATAAGTGTGAATAAACGCGGTACCAAACTTACCATTTATTGTTTGCAAACGAATGCGGTGAGAGACAGCTCAGTCCGTTTCTCCTTGGAGATCCAAAAATCCCTGACTATTAATAATATTAATAAGTCACCAATCTGTTATCAATGAACATAACAACCTCAGGTGACTTCAAATTGGGAAAAGACAGTACTTTTTGACTTCCGATTGTTCARAACTTATTAATTACTGAAGAAATTCCTAAGTTTTATGCTGCTGATTTCACTTGGAATGTAAATGCCGATAAATGTTTATGAAAGCATTAAACCGGAAATGACGTAAAAGAGGAAGTCAAATTATTTCGTTTCCAGTCTCTACTCAGCATAAGAAAACGAGGAAAGAGTTGTCAAACATGGCGAAGTTTTGTAGCTAACAAGATGGCAATTTCTTCTGTTAAACCTTGTGTTTTGCTAGTTCTTTTGTAATATAATGGACTTGGTTGGCTATCGTGTAGTCCGAGGGCCAGACTGGAAATGGGGAAAGCAAGATGGCGGCGAAGGACACGTTGGAACTGTGAGGAATTTTGAAAGCAATCAAGAAGTAGTTGTTGTTTGGGATAATGGCACTGCTGCGAATTATCGATGTGCTGGCGTGTTTGACTTGAGGATTTTAGACAGTAGTCCTACAGGTAAGATAAATTTCACTGACCAAAACATTTTTTTTTTTTAACAACTAGCAGCATTTTTGCCGTCCATTGTAAACATAAGCTTGATTTTATCCGCCATGTTACCTTAGAAGTTCATGTTGGATTGAAAGGAAGCCAAAATGTCTGTAAGTTTTATATAGAATATCTGAGATTTTAGTCCTCTAACACAAATTTCTATTTTGCTAAATGCTAGTTATTGGTCTTTTAATACATCGGATTAAAACGACGTAACTGTAATGTAAAGAAAACTGAAGTCTTATTCATAGAAAACTACATGTACATTGAACTTATTGCGTTAAGATGTACAGGAAGTCATAATATAAGACTTAAGATGTACAGTAAGCTTATAAGCTATAAAGCTTCACTATACACAGTGTGTTTGGGTGGTAACACAGTGTAGAAATCTCTTGTGTTCTTTTTGCAGTAATTATTATGTAACTATCTATTGAATTAGATTAATATATTTTAATGTTTTCTTTGAGCATAATTACTTAACCTCACTGTGGATGAATGAAATAGACCATATAAAATACAAAGTAACATTTACATTGACTGGAAAATAAAACAGATTTTATCAGGACCCAGTTGTTCACACACTAGATTAATTTCAACCACATGTTGACAATGAAAACAGATTTTTCATCATTTCGAGGAACATCTGTTCAGGATGTGCAATAATGTTTAGCATTGAGTTTGTCTCTTCATTAGTATTATACAATTTCTACTATTAGAAAATTTCAGCTAGTTTATTAACTATATCCTGAGGCTGTCCTTTGGCGCTTTTAAAACTCTTAGATATTCATTAGCATAAGGGAATTATTGCAAATACATAATAATATAACGTTGTATTTGAGAGCATACATGTACATAAAGCCCAAGAAAATGTTAAACATGTATAAGGTTTACCTCAGCAGAAATGGTAGCTTTAGTGTAAGGTTTCCTTCTGTTTTGTGTAATCTGTATTGAGCTGTCTATCTTTTGTATGTGTCTTGGTTTTTATTGCGTAAATAATAACACAATTCATTTTGAACATTGAATGAACATCTAAGACTTTTATATTAAGTCTGAATCCTTTTAATAATGAAAAACAATTCCCTTTGATTTAGTAATGAGATTATTGTTGAAAACATTTATTAAGAATTTATTGAATGAACATTATTTATTTTGGGGCTAATATCACAATCTTATGTTTGCAAGTTTTCGATCTTGATTGACAGGACTATTTTTTTCATGGATCATTATGTATTCAAAGTAATATTAAAGTTGGAGGTGTAAATTATTTAATCCCTGTACGGACAAAAGAAAATCTGTGTGATTCTAAATAAGCAAAAGAGCATTAATTTCAT